ACCTGTCAGACTCACCTGTCTCACCTGTCAGACTCACCTGTCACCTGTCACTCACCTGTGCGGGCCCTTTGACCTCGTCCTGAGCTTCTCCGTCCGTTATCACCACGAGTCTCTGCGTGAGTGAGGGGCGCCCTCCTCCGGTGGCGCTGAAGTACTGCTCGGCGAAGGAGATGGCGGCGCCCGTGTGAGTCCCGCCCCCGAGCTGCGTCATGGCGTCCACCGCCTTCACCAGCTCGTCCACCGAGAACATCTGGTTCAGAGGAAACTCCAGCTTCTGCACCGTGCTGAACTGAAGGACCCCGAAGTGGACCGAGTCCGGACCCACGGAGGACTTCCCGATCACACTTTTCATGAAGGTCTTCATCTTCTCGTAGTCCTCAGGATAAATGCTCCCGGAGCTGTCCACCAGGAAGATCAGGTCTCCAGACACGTCCTTACACACTGCACAAGACCAGACCCAGGTTAGACCAGGTGTAGTCCTGGGATAGTCCTGGTTTAGACCTGCTTTAAACCTGGTTGAGTCCTGGTTGAGTCCTGGTTTAGTCCTGGTTGAGTCCTGGTGTAGTCCTGGTTGAGTTCTTACCCTCCGTGGAGCAGATATCAGTGATGATGTCGTCTTTTATGGGTTTGAGGGCGTCGAAGTTGTGGACGAAGAACATCTTGTTGGGGTCTCCTGAGATCTCCAGCAGCTCGTTCATGTCGGCGTTCTTCACCCCGATGGAGTAGATGGTCACGCCCTGAGCTCGCAGCTCCTCGGCCGGAGCCTTCACCTTATCAGACGACTCCCCGTCTGTGATCACCACCAGATACTCTGAAACCTGAGAAGAAAACACATCACCACCAGGAACTCTGAGACCTGAGAAGAACACACATCACCAGCAGGAACTCTGAGACCTGAGAAGAACACACCTTCTGCCCCCTGGAGGCTTCTGCCTTCTTGAACAGAGGACCCATGAAGCTCAGAGCTTTGCCGGTCTCGGTGCCGCCTCCTCGTTGCTTGACGTCCTCCACGGCACGCTCCAGAGACGCCGCGTCGGAATATTCTGAGAGGTCGAACTCCAGCTCGGGGTCGTCGGCGTATTTGGCCACGCCCAACCTCACATGGTCTGGCCCGATCCTGAAGGTGTGCAGGAACTCCATGATGAACTTCTTCATGTCCTGAAAGTCTGAGGGGTAAATGCTCCCGGAGTGATCGATCAGGAAGAAGATGTCTGCCTCGTCCGTCTGCACGCAGCCTGAAGGAAGATGAAGGTCAGAAACGAGAAACATGATCCAGGAAGAAATTCATTCAGCTTTAAAATCAGAATAAACCAAACACTTACTTCAAAATCAAGTTCAGAATCATCAGTTTCATTAAGAATTAAATGTTTACATGGACTTTTTGAAGCAGAATTCAGTTTTATTCAGAATTAAATAATTTTTATTTATAATTAAAACTCTCATGTAAACGTGGCAAATGTGGATTTAAAATGTGCTGCTTCACGTCGGGGTTTTGGTGTGCGCGTGTGCGATCGTACCTTCTTTGATGCCCGTTCTCCTGGAGGACACTGTGATGGCCTGTCTGAAGATGTTGTGGCACATGGTCTGCTGCAGAACCTGCTCCACGGTCTTGAGGTTGGAGAAGCTGTCCACCATGAACACGTGTCTGTTGGTGGGGTAGGACGCTATCTTGTCCAGCTGGTCTCTCTTGGCGTTCTTCACCCCGAGAGCGTAGACCGTGACCCCGGCTCTGCGCAGCTCTGCTCCCGCGGCCTCCACGTCGTCCTGCAGGGGGCACAGTGTCATTCCTCTCAGTCACTTCGGGATCCGCGTCCGTCGAGCGAGCGCCGGCCGGACAGGAACGTCACAGACCGAGCGTCACAAGTGAAACGGACAAACTGAACCTGAGCTTTTCTTTAACATGACTTTTTATTTTGACACGATCATAAACAGGACGAGACGTGTGCACCAAAAGTTATGAATCTACAACAAATAAAACACTATTGTTACATAGAAATCGTCCAGGGGGCGCTATTGCACCCATTTTTGTATTTTCTTACATCAGTGTGTTCAGGGTCGGAGTGTGAACCCACGATTAAAATTTGAGTGAAATCGGCCAAAGTTTGTGCGATTTGTCGATTTTTCTTTTGGTATAACATGGAGTTTATGTCATCGCTGTGGCAACGCCGTAAAAAATACAAATACATAAACACATGGGTGTGTGTCACTGACTTTTTGGTCAGGATGGCAAAATGGAATTTTGTGCAAAAATTGTGAGCTCCTCTGAGTTTAAGAACAAACTGGTACCTGAGACTCTCCGTCGGTGATGACCACTGCCACCTGCTCGACGCCCCTGCCGCTGCGACTGCCCCTGGCGGGGGTGAACACTTTCTGTCTGGTGTAGTTCAGGGCTTTTCCAGTGTTGGTTTGTCCGGCGCGGTACGGCAGGATCTTGATGAAGTTCAGGAGGTCCATTTTGTTGTTGAAGCTGTCGAGGAAAACCTGCGCTGCCGGGCGGTCG